GTGGCCTCCTTCCTGCTCCATCGATTCATGCTGCGACACGGTCCACCCCAGGAACTGCTCAGTGATCGAGGCCGCATCTTCCTGCCCGAAATCATCGAGGCCATTCTCAAAGAGTGTAACGTTGTTCACCGCAAAACTGCTGCTTACCACCAGCAGACGAATGACCTCACCGAAAGCTTCAAGCATACGCTCGGCGACATGCTCTCCAAGTACGTCCCCGCTGATCACACAAATTGGGATGCCATTCTACCCCTCGTCACCTACGCATATAATACCACCCCTCAGAGCGCTACTGGCTTTTATTTATTTATTTAGTACCCACAGCGCCAGAGGCATTACAGTGGGGGAGGGGTTTACAGTCAGTCTGGACAGTTCAATATTTTGTCACATATAAAGCGTGGAAAAACGGTAATAGCAATAACAACAGCTACAGCAGATCGACAACATAAGTTATTCACAGCAGTATGCAGTATATGTGAGAAACAAGAACACTACAAGGTTGAGTCACTTCAACAGGAAAAATAAGTGATTTGATACCGGAGTATAGCCACAATTCCCTTCTGCATACAGTGTGAGGACAAAAGAAAGAAGAACAAAAGATAAGAACAGTAATACATACAGTACGTCCTAAAAAGATCAAAGAAACAATCATTTCAGCAGGGCAAAAAACATCTCATTCGAAACTACGTTGACGATGTCAGCAGGTAACCTATTCCAGTCGTGGATTGTTTTTGGAAAGAAAGATTTCTTAAAAAGTTCCGTGCGGCATAGAACCTCTCTTACTTTTCGCTCATGGTCCACGCGTTGGGACCTATAGTTAGGCGGTATTATATATATGTCTCTCTGTATGTTAATCGTACCATAGTAAATGGAATGAAAAAGCTTCAGGCGCAGCTTTCTGCGTCGTTCTACCAGGGTATCCCATTTGAGTTCTTCCTTAGTTCTTGTTGCACTGAAATTAATTGTGTATTGACGGGACACGTACCTCGCACCGAGATTCTGAACTCTTTCAAGTTTAATAACGTCGCGCGCCGTCGTAGGGTCCCACACTACACAAGCGTACTCGAGGACGGACCTCACGTACGTCTTGTAGAGTAGCTCACGTGTGGACTGACTGAATGCACCAGAGTTCCTGCGAATGAAGCCCAGCATTTTTCCCGCCTTTCCGGTTACGTAGTTAACCTGCTTCTGCCACGATAATTCTGGGGTATACCAAACACCTAAGTATTTAAATTCAGTTACTTTACCAATTACAATGTTATTCAGGGTGTAGCAGTAATTTAGAGGGTTCTTCTTTCGAGTGAATGTCATATTGACAGTTTTCGTGAGGTTTAGCTGCATGCGTCACCTAGTGCACCATGTGCTGATTCGATCGAGGTCTTGCTGAATCAGGTTGAGGTCTTCCGTACCGTTAGTGATCCTATAAACCACACAGTCATCTGCAAACAGCCTCAACTGTGATGTCAAACCGTCGCCAATATCATTGATGTACAATAAGAACAGCAAAGGTCCCAGGACGGAGCCCTGGGGTACACCAGATGAAACGCTTAGTGCCCGTGACCGAACCCCATTTACAACCACGAATTGCCGGCGTAACGTTAGATATTCTTTAATCCATGAGACAACCGCCGGATTTATTTTATTATGTGAGCATCTTTTCAATGAGTAATGAATGGGGTACTGTGTCGAAAGCTTTCCTGAAATCGAGGAAAATACATTCAACCGCAAGCCGTTTATCTAATGCGGAAGCAATATCATTTGTGAATTCCAATAATTGGGTAACACAGGAAAAACCTTTACGAAATCCATGTTGGGCTGACGTAATCGCAGAATGAGTATTCAAGTGAGCTACAATACTCGTGAATAGAATGTGCTCCATTATTTTACATGCAACGGATGTCAGCGATATCGGGCGGTAGTTTGAAACGTCGCTTCTAGGGCCGGACTTATGAATAGGGACCACAATACCTGCTTTCCAATCATCAGGAAGAGAAGCTTCGAGTAGTGACATATCAAATATAACTTTCAAGTACTTTGCTATCGATTCAGCGCATGATTTAAGCAGGAAATTGGGTAAGTCGTCAGGACCACACGCTTTAGAAGAGTCGAGCCTTCGAAGCAACGATTCAATGCCGTGTGTACATATGACAACATCATCCATGTCGCTTATCGTTTCAAGTACCGGTGGGACGTCTTCAGAAGGCATTACTGCAGGAGTGAAGACGGAGCAGAAGTAGGCGTTAAAGCATTCTGCCTTGTCAGCGTCTTCGCGAACAATGACGTCACCAGACACGAGTGGAGGGATAGTTACAACATCCTTGCCATTCTGCTTCACGTGCTTCCAGAACACTTTCGGTTTATCTTTTAGTCTTGTTTGAATAGTTCCCGAATAACTGTCTTTGGCAATGCGTGTTGCTTCTTTAACTTCACGAGTTATTTCTTTCAGTTTTTTCTCTGTCTCTTTTGAAGGTTTTCTGCAATAAGCGCGATAAGTTCGTTGTCTTTTTTGTGTGAGCTGGCGCAAGGTTTTCGTAAACCAAGGCTTGCTTCTACCCTGTCTCGCCGTCAACACCCAAGTTGGGACGAACAGCTCACGTAATTCGAGTATTTTCTGCTTAAATAACCGCCACAGCCCGTCCACACTCCTACACTCGGCTTCCGTTTCGAACACTACTAAATAAGCCTGTAATGCTTGATTTATACAATCGAAATTGGCTTTTTTATAATTGTACAGTTTTCTGTTAGCATGGTTTTTTGTTTTAACATAGGCCAGCGACATCGTCGACACGACAGCGTGATGGTCGCTTATGCCAGGAATCACAAGCGTTGACTGAACAAGTTCTGGACGATTGGTAAGCAGAAGGTCTAAAATGTTGTTTCCCCGCGTTGGGGTGAGGACTAGCTGATGCAGAGCATGCAGGTTGACCATGTTCATCATTTCTGTATTGCATATTCCAGTAACTGTGGCGGTGTTCGATGCATCCCATTTCAAGTCCGGTAAATTGAAGTCTCCCCCAATGACCACGGTATCTGAGTGAACTTCATCAATCGCACTTTGAAGTCGAGTGAGAACATCCGGCGATGCATTAGGGGGACGATAAAAGCTACATACTGTTAAGGCGATGCGGTTCGGAAGTTCTAGTTTGCACAACACTACTTCACTCACGCCAGCATCAACGTCAATCTGGGAGGACCTAATGCTACTATCAATGAGAATGAACACACCCCCTCCATGACCGTTCCTGTCTTTTCTGTAGCAGGTGTAACCAGTTGGAAATACCTCGTGGTCACCAATGTCAGGATCTAACCAGGATTCCGTACCGAGAATCACGGAAGGCTTAACAGTTTCTACTAAGGCGGAAAATTCATCTCTCTTATTCTTTATGCTCCTGCAATTCAGCAGAAGAATACTAATGTTCACAGAACTAGACTGGCACGGTCACTTCTGTGGGGTCACATGCATTGTTGCATCATCGCAGACAAACTTCTGCCCGTTCAAAAGAAGGTAATCGTACCTAAGCATAGCTTTCGCGCCATCCTGTTTTTGTGCTTTTGCATATTCCCACAAAATTTTTCTTTTCTTTCGTACTGCTTCGGAGAAATCTTCGGAAATGCTAGTCGTAGTGCCTTTTAACTTTCTTGCGTTGCTTAGGACATGCTGTTTTTCTTTGAAAGATGAAAATTTTGCGATGATGGGTCTGCTCCTCCCAGCTCGAAAACGTCCCAACCGGTGTGCCCTTTCTATTCCTATAGTGGGAATTCCTAACTTCGAAGAACAGATATCCAAGATCTGTTTCTCACACTCCGCATTTGTTTCGTTGGCTTTTCTTTTTGTTGAATGGACCGTACAAGCCAGATCTGTCTGAGTGTGCGCGTATTTCTGCTACAGCCAAGCTTGCTGAAGAGTGTCGAGAGCTTGCAAAAACCTTTACTGCGCATGATCAAGAGCAGCAAAAAGCATTCGCGCTGACACCAACACTACTGCGCCCACGTTCCTCCCTGGTGCACTCGTCTGGCTCTCGATTCCTACCACTGCAACTGGGTTATCTTTAAAGCTATTGCCCAAATACGAAGGCCCCTATCGTGTCATCGAACGCACTTCCCCTGTAAACTACTTGATCGAACCATCTTGGCATGCGCTGTCGAGGGTGCGACATTGTCAACGTGGAGCGCCTCAAGGCCTACCATGACCCGCTCATAGTAACCAGCTGTTAGGTCGCCCGGCGGTTCCTTTTTTTTTACCCTGGGTAGTGTTTGCAAAGCCTTCGAACATTGGGTCGTCCTCTCCAGCGCCTTCTAGTGGGTCGCCCTCTTCGTAAAAAGAACATCTCATGTAGAGAGTCTGTCCCCGCATTGACTGTCGCTGTCGTGCATCATCGTCGAGTGTCCGCCAATAAATGTCTTAACAACGTAATTCATTACATTTTAATTAACATTAAACATTAAAACTCTCTGAAAACAGCAGATTCCTTCATTTTCTTTTTTGGAATGTAATGCTGAGTGCCTTGGAATATGCAGACAGTGCATCATTATTCATGACTGAAGGGGTTGTACAAGAAAACTTTTTTCTTTTTAGAGTTCATGGTGGGCATCTTTTTATAGTACATAGTACCAAAACTCAGATTGCCATCGTCAGTCATATATACATGAACTGTACCGTGCTTCATTATGTACCACTGAGCTTGCATCAAGCTTGTATGCTTTCTTCCTATACTAAAAGGTCTCTATTCTTTGTGGTTTTGGCAATTATAGTTGTACCCCTGTATAAGAGACATATACCGGGCAGAAATTCTTGGCCTTTATATGAGTTGTCTCTTGTACGCTGGGCACCACATATGCATTTTCTTATCAACACCTATTTAAATGTAGGCACTGTGGTGACTCATAACTTGTCAGTTATATCTTACGGGGGGGTTTGACTGAATTTCAGTTGATGCACTGAAAGCATACTCAAGGTTCGGCTTCGCTAACCTCCGCGGTTGCATCAAATTCTTTTGCAGCATACAAAATGTGTTCAAGGCAGTGCGTGGCAGTGTGGCTCTTGTCATTCTTGGGATGCTGCGTCTCTTCATGGTGACGGTCCTCAATTACCAAAACCCTGTCCATGAATATGGTGTTCATTGGAACTTTTTTTTTACACTAGCAAGCACCAGGGTAAGAGATCTTGTCAACCATTAGTGTTTTTATGCATGTGTGGAGGCATTATATTTGAGTAGAATTGCTTCTTGGCCTAGTTGGTATTGCTTACTGTATGACATTCTGCTGCTAGTAAAAACCACATGCACAGGAGAGTCACGAACAGGACATGGGGGCACTTCCAACAGGTTTATTTCAAGCATGAGAGTGATACATACATAGGACTGACACGTACGCACAGTAGCCAACAATGCCTAACCCACCCATCTCTCAAACAATCTAATCTCAAAAGGTCGTAGCTGTATGGACATGTTGCCTATACATTCATCATTTAACTTACTGATACAAAAGGCTTCTACCTGCGTCATACCTGCTCTTGCCCAGGATCTTGCAGACCTTTCAGTGCTTCGGAAGATTCGCAAGTTCTATTTTGGTCATATTTGCTGGCTCGTACGTTCATACAGCGGCGGGCCTGCCCTACATGAATGCTGCACATCAGGGAGATCTGGTAGTCATTTCCTGTCTCACATTTGGTGTAAGCCAAAGTATTTCTTGTATAGTGCAGCCAGCAGATCCCCCAGCAGTGGTGCAGAGGCAGAAAAAACAGAGGAACATCAGTCATACCTGCCTCCTACCTTCAAGGGGTTGTGAATCACCTTATAAAGAAAAGGAACCGCTGCAGGTCTTATGGTGCTAGTAGCCATGCTTGCTACCACCGGTTTCTTGCTGCCTTCAATCTTCTGCACAAGAGTATTCGCCATGTAGCTGGTGGGATACTGAAATAAAATACATGGTGAATTCCAGTAGCAGATTCAGAGTGCCTGACAAACTCTGTATTAGAGCACTCTGCTCCGGTGGAGAGTAACCAAACTAGATCTGCCAATACAACACAGCCACTCCAGTCAGAGCAAATGGCAGGAGGCACTAGCAAACATGCACTTCCAGAAGGGCCCAGCATTCCTTGCACTTTGTCCCTTCGCAGGCATGCGCAGAGAGAACAGTTGTGTTTGGGCTGTGCATTCCGTCAATCATGTGGTACACACAGGGCGCTTGCAACTTTTGGTCGAATCTACCACTTTTCGTAGACTGGAGAAAGCTGTTTCGTAGAGTGGATCTGGTGGCGTAGCTGCTCTGGATCTGCCAATGAAACATACAAGAGGCACTCCTTATCTGCCAATCGAACAGACATGATCCACATAAAGCAGGAAAACTGCTACTGCATGTGCTCTGAATGTGTCAGTGGAATGAACCAACAATCGGGAGATCCAGGCGATGAATGGCTAATCTGGCTGGAGACAAGATTCCTCGACTACCTGGCTGATCTCAAAAGTCAGAGCCTGGCAAAGAACTTCTTAACCAAGGTGACTTACGAGGGCCTTGTAATCACAACTCATTCAAATGTGAGCGCATTAGATATCTTCTTGAAGAGATGTCTTTTCACTTCATTTTGACGATTAAAATGTCATTGAACCAATTCGAGTTGTTGTTCGGCTAGCTGAGAAAACCAGCAGGATCAAATGATGAAACGAGCGTCTGTGCCGTGCTCACAGGCATTGAGGAAACTCTCAAGATCGATGTTGCATCGGCGTCGAGTACAAGCAACCTAATGGTAGCAGAAGAGAGTGATTGCTTGTCAATGCTGCCACAAGAGAGAAACACAAGAGAGCAAACCAGCGAGGAGTTCCTCGCAGATGCACGTAGAGAGCTCACTGAGCGACTAAACCGGGATAAACCTCTCCTTTCCACTTCAAATGAGGCTGCATTGGCTATGGCTATTCAGAAAGAGTTGTACGTGAAAACTTGAAATGTGAAAAAATCTTTGCGCTCCTAACAAAGCCAAATGCTTCAACGCTATCAGATAAGCTCATTAAGCACCAACATCGCGATGGACCCGTCTGCACATCTGCTCTACGCAAGTTCGTCAAAGTTTTTCTAGTGAGAAGAACGCGTACTTTTTAAAGGAGGATGTGAACAATGCAGCCAAAATTCAATGTGAGCACAAATCTTTGATGTGCTCGAGCACCAAGAGAAATTGCTCAAACTGTTTCTTACAAAGTTCTTTCACCCAATATTCACGAATTTTGCTTTGGAAAAGACAGACAAACAGGATGTCGCCAATGTGTTTGAAATAAAGCCGCACTCACGAAAGACCCCGAAACTATCAGCTTTATCTCACAGCTGGGGGCCTAAGTGAAAGGTCCAGTCTTCGCAATATGTCTCGTGTTGCTTGCTTTCAATATAATGTGGGGTTGGAAAGAAAGCGAACAGTGAGACATCTATGTTCTCTGCTGTTTCACATTTCTTTACGAGGGGTTGTAGCCTTCATGATAAAATCCATTAGAGTAAAAATATTTTGGCATCTTTTTACAGCAAAAGCTGTTATGAGATGACAACTCGGGTCACGCGCAGTTGTCCGCCGCCGGTGCTTGTAATCACATTGTGTGAAATTAGAAAAAAAAAAAAAACTAGCACCAATGACACAGTGGGACTCAAATTTGGGTCCGCTGGGTGCCAGCCCAGTATTTTACCACTGAGCTACACCAGTGCTTGTGACTTGTTGGCAAACTTGCCTTAGGCATGCTTGATGTCAGAAAAGCAATCGTGTTGATATGACTTATAAAGTGTTTTAAAACAGCAAAAGAACAACCAGTTGTTGCACAATGTGAATATCGTAACGAGTGGGCCGTCCAGTGCTTCAACCCATTACAAAAGCTTGTTCTGGTTCCCCTATTAACTGTGGCGCATACCCACTTAAGTCATAATTCTTTATTGTCGTCAGCCACTGCATAAACAATTTGCACAAAATTCGTTGCAAGTGTTCAGCGGATACCACACTTTTCAAAAGAATAATGAAAAATAGCAAAGCGAATGCCGGCCCACTTCTCGAAAAATTTCTTACTAATGCCCCAGTGGGTATCAAGCAAATGTGCTTGCAATCGTTACCCAATGAGTGTTTTGAAAAGGCTCTGAAAGACCGTTCTTCTAGCTTTCGCTGTGACTGTACTGCGCCTTCCGCGCACGCCTGGCGTTTTTTTTCCCAGCAGGGTCACAGCGGGATAAAAACGTCACGCCACACTGTTCGCATTTTTTTTTATCACACCTGTGCATCATGGACACCAATGCAATCTGCGCACTCATTTTACAGCTCTACCTCTAATACAAACGCAAGTTTCTCTCCACAATCATGTGTGCAACAAGAAAGTGGATATAAGGTGGCAGTGCAGTGTGGTGGCGAGCGCATGAACTAGAATGTAGAAGCAGAGTGGTTTGCTCTGCTCACCACTTAACCTAACCTTCGTAAATCAAGTGGGATGTCACAGAAGGGGACACAGTAAAAGAAAACTGGGGCACATTTTTATTTATTGTGTTCCAGGAGTGCAGCAATGGCTTCCAGTAAACGTTATACAAGCCAACAATCGTACAAATGCACAAAATCACATGGGGCCCACACGCGTGTGTAGTCGTGGATGAAATTTGCTGTGTGCCATGACAGCTACTAGCTTGTCATGTTACTGCCACCATGTCAGGGCAGATGCGCAAAAGAAAGAACACAAAAGGCAAGTGTTCGAGCCCCAAAAAACCCCCAGTTTATTGTGCGTGTCTTTTTTACGGCCACAATGGATGGAGCACGGCCACAATGGATGGAGCAGTCACTGGTAAGCTCAGATGCTGCAGCCATCCTGGAATGCGGGCATCGCTGGGCCAAATAGCAGACCAGGTCGATGTGTTGCTCGGATGTGTGTTTCTTGAAGTGCTAGTTACATTTGAATGCAATGCCACACAGCTGGTTCCCAATGTTTGTATGTTTTTTTGGCATGACACTGTTGTACTGCGGAGAAACGTTTCTAACAAGCATTCTGCATGTCACAGACGGATGCCAGAGAGTTTTGGAACTGCTATCATGCTATTTTCTATTTGAGGCAAGGCTGTTTTTCAGGGTGTCTATGGGTGTGCCTGTGCAGTTGGTAGTTTTCCAACAAAATTTGGAGAACTTGCAGTCGTGCAAAAGCTCCAGTTAATATTACAGTCTGAGCACTCACGTCAACCTTGCAGTATCGTTCATGTATAGCTATGAAGTGCTTTCTGAAAGACATAATAATAATGAAAAAAAAAAAAAACATCCTGTATAGTGAAGAAAACAAAGAACATGGAAAACACTGACAAAAAAAAAGCATGCATGCACAAGCACACACATGCTACTTCCAACAAATTTATTGTTACAATACTACCACTGCTTTCAGCACCACATAAATGGCCCATATCAATTTGCAGATGTTCAAAGCCCCTAACAGACACTTTCAAAGTAACATTGTCACACTCAGAAAATCAAATTCTTTTTGTGTGTGGGAGCAATTGATGGCATGCTTACATATATTTCACTGATCTTCTCAATCTCTAGTGCTTCAATAATGTTTCTTGATGTTTTTGAGAACTTTGCACATACCCTACAATAAAACGTAGCCACATGTGTTACAATGTACCGTCAAAAAACCACCAGCGTAACACTAAGAACCATCTTGCATAGCCAAACCATACAGTCACTGTCGTCCACTGTGCAAGCTCGGATTTCTAGCCTGGACCATTGTATCGCTTAACATTGTGTCACTTAATGTATCGTAACAGGCTTGTCATACATAAGTTGGATACAACTGTGCTCAAGCCTATCTGCAGATAGATCAAAACAAAATGAGCTAATATTGACTCGAGGGGGCGGAGATTTCGGGACAGTGCCATAAAAACCTTGGCTCTGACACTGGTGGAAGTCAAAGGGGCCATGACACCCAATTTTCACTCATAAACTGTGTTATGTGGATTCATTCTTCGGTGTTCACAAACAAGCTTGTGAAATACCAGGGCATTCCATCGACAACATAGTTTATAAAGAGTATTTAACAGCATTACCAGCATAACAGGCTTGAGATTGCGGCAACTTTGGTGTCATGACATAACAATGCATTTGCTTAACAAGTATCTGTAGGCCGGCCACTGATTTTGTTTCGCAGTGAACTGCCTGTGCAATGGAGCCATTAGAGCTTGCTTGAGTTCAGCATTGAAAACTGAGCGATTTGCAGTGGCTGAAACATAGGTGAAGTTATATGAGCCAATCTTGCGATTTACATCATAAACGGGAAGTTTGTATAATCTGCAGATTTTGACGTCACTGGTGTACGCGATGGTACCCATTCATATGGACTGGATGATTGGTGTTGTCCTGGCTTGCGCATATGAAGCCTGCCTCCTGTTCACTCCTCTGGCATCATTCCTGGACAGTGACAACCGGTCAGGTTTCCTGGCAGCAAACAAAGAAGGCCTTGCATCCATTGCTGGCTATGTGGCACTCCACTTGGCTGCTGCAGCAACTGCAAGAACACTGGGTTATAAGCCACGGTATGTGTCTCTGAAAACTTGACATAGCTCACTGATGAATACACTCACTCATTTGAGCATGGTGAGTGAGAGTGTGAACTTGCATCCACTCACCCTCATGCGAGTATGAATGCTGAAAAAGTTGTGTTGTGTGAGCATGAGTATTCTCTTGAAGTGCCAACCTATGAAACTGGGGCACGATTCTCAATGCATCCGCCTTCTGTACACTTCAGCCTCCACCAATTGGCTGGAGCTCGGTGAGCAGCGCGTCCCATTTCTGGTACTTCTGGAACATCATTTTAACATCACAAAGCTTTCAGAGCATTAAAAGTTATCTAGATTATTACTATGGTGATAATTAGCATGGTCTAATTTAAAAGGTCCCAATTACCAGTAGGATTGTTAATTTGAATGATTCTAATTATTATGAGTGTTTCACCACAACCAATGCTGTCGCCAGAGATCTGTTTTTGGATCAGTGACTCAGAGGCCATGCGTAAACTTTAATCACATTAGCCCTTGAATCAGGATTAACGTGGCCGCCATCCTAATGCACCCAGAAAGTCTGTACGAATTGCCTGCACCATTCTCAAACATCTGAACACGTTCATACACGTGTGCAGGCTTGTCGAGTTTCAGTGTCCCATTACTGTATATTTCATCCACTTTCTTTCTCTTTACGCTGGGAATGTGCTGGCTGGTTAGGTGTGTCAACATGGTCAAGGGTGCCATCACATCACGGCTTGCAGCTTTTTCGAGTAACTGCCTAAGTAGATATGTCCACTGGGTCGATACATTGAGGACAGCTTCCCCGGTGTCTTGAAGTGGAACAGCTGTTACGATAGTTGTAAGAGAGCGCATGCAACTGCTATAAGTGAGATAGCAGGAAAGCCCATTTAAAGGGGCCCTGCAACACTTTTTGAGCATGGTCACAGAACGCTGCCTATCGGTAGTAGAAATGAACTCTCGAGAATACGTGAGCCAAATATTATAGTACGGCACGTGGCCTAGAATTCACAATAAGTTATCAAAGTCAGCTAAAAATTGCTTTCTCTTCTTTCGACAAATCGCAAAACACGCTCAAAGATCACTCGTAGCAAGCCAGCTATCAGCCATTGGCTTATTCGAACATGGCGCGCTTGGTTGGTTGAGACATCGCCGCAAGAGGCCACGACTTGTCCACACATACGCACAAGATCACACTGAAAAAGTTGTGTATTCGAAGGAAAAACAATAAAAAAAGTGCTCACATGGCACGCATGATTATTTTTTTGCCTATACCATCCCTTCCTGCTTAGCTTCCAGAGCTTCTCGGGACAAGAGAAGAGAGAATGCAATTGCAGCATTCAACAAATCTTTGTAACTCCATTCGCGTTGGACGGATTGTTAAAGTTTTTGTGGCGTTGAATTTGTGAGGCAATAGGCTCTTCCAGTTAATTAATTTCATGCTTATTTGAAAAAATGTTTCAGGGCCTCTTTAAAAAGACTGATGACTACCCAAAATATGAAATGAAATGATTCCACTAGAAAAGGATTGCTTGTTACATTGACTCTAAATAACCCTGTTTTTTTGTGGGAGGTGGCTTTATATTGTTATTTTTCATTGAAAGTCGTGATGACCTGTGACCCTCTTTGGCGGCACTAACATGGAAAATTCGATGTACCTGGCCAAGTGATCGTTGATTGCTGTACGCAGTCGACAATTTTTTTTTGTTAGTATTGAAACATTGTTAGTTTCTTTTTATCAAAAGATATTACTCCATAAAAATGTGCATACAGGCCTGCGTTCTAAGTATGCATTAAAGTGGCTCTGCCTTCACGTGAAATTATGATCTCATGTCCAGCCAGCTAGAGCAACTTTTCAGCGCACTCATGCAGTTCCCAGGCTGCTAAGATTTTGGAGCGACATAGTTTTGCTACCTACATTTCGTTTCCGAAATGATGTGCACTGCTACCCAACATGGCCGAGCATACGCGAAGTGACGTTTTCAATGACTTGGCTTGATTATGTGCCTTTGGAATGAACTACTTCAGCCACAAACACTACGAAAGGTGAGCTTTCTATTGCACCGTAAAAAAGATGCATTCAGAAAAATCAGTTGTCGAATCCTTTAAGGTACACAGGAGACATTTTTTGGTGTAATGTACGTTCATGTTCCCCACATTTAAATGGGGCACTTAGGTGCAAGGCTAAATTAGTTTAGACAGATGTTATTGTATTGCCAACATAGGCTAGTTATTAGAAAAAGAAATCAAGGTCTCACGTCTGAATTTTGCTGGCTTGTGCGAATATTCCAATGCTTCAAATATTCAAACGAATAGTAAAGTATTCGAATTCGCTTCGATTCGAATTTAAATTATCGAATATTTTGATGTATTCGACATGAACGAATAGGTGTATACTGAATCGCATGTAACTGCCTATAAAAGTGTTTTCACTGCAGTAAATGGTGAAAAACCGTGAAAGCACATATTCAGGAGAGTATTTGCTTTGCCGCGAAGCCCTTTTCAAATTTAAAGGGGCCCTGCAACACTTTTTGAGCACGGTCAGCAGACGCTGCCGATTGGTGGTCGAGGCAACCGAGAACACGTGAGCTAAATATAATAGCGCAGCACGCGACCTGGAATTGACAAGAAATTCTCAAAGTCAGATAAAAATTGCTCCCTCCTCTCGGCAAATGATGCCACAATGTCAAAAATTGCTCGTCACAGCCATTGTGTCAGCCATTGGCTGATTTGAGCGTGGGTTGCTCGGTCGTTGTTGGGGCCTCTGCGGGTGGCCTAGACATGTCCGCGCATGTATGCGTGCTCGCACTCAAAAGCCGCATATCCAAAGAAGAAAAAAAGAGAAAGAAAGAGCTCAAGGTCACGAGACGCATGTGACGTATTTTCTTTTCCTATGCCATCTCTCTTGACTTTGCTTCAAGCGCTTTCGTCTGGACGAGAAGAGAGGATGCAATTGCAGCATGTGGCAAATCTTTGTGACTCTGCTCATACTGGACGGATTCTAAAAATTTTTGGACGGTTAGCTCTGTGACAATTGAGGCTAGCCCGCCACCTTTGCACGGGCTTTGCCGCCTTTTCTGGCATTCTCATGTCCCGATTGACTCCCCTCTTCCGCTATCTGCCGCGCTGGGAGAGCAAGGCGTGACACTTAACCCCTCTCACCCGGTAGCGGATGTCGACTGTGGCACTGCGCGTAGGGTCTCTCGGGACGTTTCGTGCGCGCGCGTCGGGAGTGAGTCTGATTGTTTCAGGACAGCCGAGGGTGAGCGCGCATTCCCTTTTCCGTCCATCGACTCCTATTGTTCGGGGCTCTTCGAGCTTCGCTGACGGCGCCTCGCAGCCGGAGCGAACGCTCACCTTTTGTTGCCCTTTTGCGTGCGCTAGGCCTAAGAGCAGCAGTGTCCTAGTGCGTGGCCAAGCTACGCCGACCTGTATCTCTCCAAAGCCAATGCGAGGGCCTTCGCCCTGGCTTGAGCAACCGGGCTTTGGTCTCGGTGCTCGCGGCACCCCTGTGTAGTACTTCTCGCCCGTGGCATGGATAAGCCCATTTGCTTTCCCACTGCGCCTTTGCAACGGGCTGTACTGCGTTTTGGTGTTGCCACAGTTAATAAAGTGTTGCGATCTTGAGCAGTATCGTGTTCTTGCCACGGCGATGGTTAACGCGTGCCCTGCGACTCGCTAAGAGCGGACCCACGCTACTGGCCGTACTCCTTCGGGATACGTGCACACTACAATTCATAAGGCAATAAGCTTTTTTAGTGAACCCATTCCGTGGCTACGTGAAATACTGTTGCAGGGTCCCTTTAAATGAACATATTATCTACAAATCAATTCATCATTTCTGAAGCTTAAAATCTTGTTCTGCCAGCTATACACTCCAAATGCAATGAATAATGTTAGGTATTCTACAGGTTATCACTTGCATCCTACTGAAAGTAAAATTCTGCTACTTCTCAAAGTTGTTTAGACTTGCTTTGAATGAAAAAAAGAAAAGTTCTTGCCTAGAGGCCTTTTTTAATTAAGAAAAATATTGTGCAGGTTAGTTAGGTCATGATAAATGTGCCCATTTTTTTATACGTGATTTATTCTATTCGAACTTGGTTCAAAGGTATTCAACTGAAGTAGCTATTCACTTTGAGTTCACTTCGAACCTAAAATTCACTATTCTACAAGCCTAGAATTTTGTGCTGAAACTTCAGCAGGTGAACTTCAATACAATGTTGTGAATATCATTCCTTTTGCATATTTGTGACCACATTGGTTCGATTATACTTTTTAAAATGTCCTAAACGAACTGAGCTGTTGCCTATCAACGGCCACAGCTGCAAAAGCTACGTAGGCACCAGCAGACGCCATCTGTTCCGTCATGGCCACTTGGAGGTTAACTACGAAAAAAGTTTCATTTGCGTGACTTGGCTTACATCTAGAGGTGTGAAAGCTAATGAAAGCATGACTGTGCACATGTAAGGTAATGAGCAAAGCAAGCTGAGTGGAGTTCAAAAGTGAGTTAGTAGATTATAATAAAAAAAGCAGAATACTCAGAGACTCGTTTTCTTTGTTATACACAACATCAATTAGAACTGACAAGAAAGCCAAGGAATGTGAAGAAAATGAAGGGGGAAGTTCGAAGACAACTTTCCGCTAGCAGTTCATTCATAGCGAGAGTCTCAACCTTGCAGACTAAGTGCCTTAAGGTAGTATACGAGGGGTTATTCGTCGGCTGCAAGCTCTGGCAGCACTGACTTAAAATGCACAGATTTCCCCCCCCCCCCCCCCCGCGAAAAGCTCAGTTGGTATAGCATCAGATGCATTATTAGAAGGTTGCAGGTTTGGTCCCTGCCAGTGGCAAGTCATCTTTTTGTCCTTTTTTCGTTGTTCACATTTACACCATAATTATTTTAGATATATTCACATTTGCATCACAATTACTGCAAATTACATCCACTGTACTCTCCTTGGCTCCCTTGTCTGTTAGTTCTAATTAGTATTACTCAATTATAGATGACAAAAGGACCAAAATAATTAACACATTACATTAATGATAGTGACAGTTAATTAGCAAACATTATATGTTGACACAAAGTGCACGATAAAATAACCACACTGGATGACTGTCACCTATGATGTGAGGCTGCCCAGGAGACCGTGCGAGTTTTTATAAGGCTGAATTATTGTCTTTTCTCTCAAGGAGCTCTGCACGTGACTGGATCATGACGGGATTGCAGGCCGTTGGAGTGAGTGGTGCTGCTTTCACAGCAACGTATGTAATGCACACTGCAGTGGATCCCGTTTCAAGAAGACTAGCAAACCTCTCCTACTGCCTGTGGATGGTGCGTATACTCTCTCTCTTCTTTTTTTTTTGGTGCGCCGCGGCTGTTTTCTTGTAGAATTATTTCTTTTAATGCGTGAACATAACGAAAGTAGCCGACAGACTACACAATTCAGATAAATACCGATGCCCTTCATGTCCAGCAAGCTTACGTACCGCTTACACTTTAAATTTGTTATTGCTTGTTTGTTCTGGCATTCTGATGTAATGAGAAAGGCAGTAGCCAACACTGCACTGTTAACGCACTCCAGGTACTACATTCTGGGTTTCTAGATGCACACATGCTCCTTGTGGTTCTCAGTGTTTACCAAAAGCTCGGCCACCTATGCAAGAAAGTACATATGCTTTGGAAGTACACATATGCTTTGCAGGATATCGAGGTGTAGCTCAACCCGCCGTATGAAGTATGGCTGATGCCACATTGTCACTCTCAACAGTTATGCATGTTGTTCTGTCTTCAGAACAATGACAGGACGAGTGTCATCATTTCCGAATGGGTCTGCGACCAAAACGAGGCAGTCAGTGCTGCCCGCCAGTACCATCGTCAAGATTTCATGCTAAGTCACTGGATGGCTGGGAACGTTGACTACCACAAAGCTGTCAATGTCGATCCACCATCGGGAATCATTCAAGCAACGCCCGATTTCACTGCAAAGTCGCAGCGTGGGCGAGATAGTCGACCACCATGACACACCCAATGTCGCCCTCCAGAGGCATTTTTGGTAGATCTCCCATGCATGTTACAGTGTGGTCAGGGCAGACAATCATGATGCAGCCAAACCCACCCACCCGAACCACTGCCGGCAGTTCTACCCGCTCGCAGTCATGGCCGAGTGTGATCACTGAAACCAGCACTGGGAATCATGCTGGGCTAGCACGAGGGCAGCTAGACGAAAGAAAAGGAGGACGAAGTAGATAAAAAACAGCCGGCCCAGTGAATGAGCATTCTCTCTTGTCTTGTTAATTGCTAGGCTTGTGCGAATATTAGAATCCCTTGAATATTTGAACATTCAAACGAATTGTAGAGCATTCGATCTCGTTTTGACTTGAACTTAAACTATTAAAAATTTCGAAGTATTCGCAATGAATGAATGAATGTATATTAGTCCGCATGTAGCCGCCTGTAAAGATAATTTCACTGCATTGTAGATGTGCTAAGCCGTGAAAGCACATACCCAGGGGAAATTCGCTCTGCCGCGAAGCCCACTAAATTTAAAGGGGCCCTGCAACACTTATTGAGTATGGTCAGAAAACGCTGCCAATCGCTAGTCGATGCTACCGAAAACACGCGAGCCAAATATCATAGCGCAGCACGCGGCCTGCAATTCACAATTAATTCTCAGTCAACTAAAAATTGCTTTCTCTTCTCTCAACAAATGACACTACAAGCTGAAAAATCACTCGTCACAGCCATTGGCTCATTTGAGCATGGTGCGCTCGGTCATTACTGGGGCCGCCGGGGGAGGCCGCCACTTGTCCACGCGTATATGCGCGATCGATTGAAAAACCGCGTATTCGAAGAAAAAGTAAAAAACAGAAAAAGTCTCAGCTTTGCCGGAAAGGCGAAGCAATGACTGTGATACCAACGAATTGAAAGATCACACGCAGAATTAAAAGCATGCCCCGCGTTCCTCACACACAAAACGTACTCGCAGGTACGAATGCATGCGAATAAGTGTCTCATTTGTTACTTTGCTGTGTCTGAAAATTGCGCGCTTTTCACAAACAGAGACTACAATGATTGCAGTGACCTTTGTGCACCAGGTAACTACAGCAGAATTGTTCCAGGTAAAGCCCGAGGCCAGCCAAGGCGTATGACCTTTCCCTCCTCGCCGCCGCAAGATAAGGGCTCCCTCACGCGCCTCGCCGGGCGAAGTACGCATAGGAGGCTAGAGCGGGCGCCACCGTGCGAGGTGGCGATGGGCGCTCTTTGCGCCATCTGGCTGGTAATGCTGAAAACACAACTCCCTCTGAGATACTCGTGAGCAGCGGAGTGTGGTAGATATAATTAGCTTGCCGTTTGAACGGTGAAGGATGTGCTCTGGGGTGGCTCAGTGGTTAATGCTTCACTTTCACGACGCAGAGGTCCCACGTTCGATTGCGCGTGACAAAGTGTTTTTTTCTGGATTTTTTTCTTTCTTGCATTTTCATATGTATATATAGATACGTATACATATACGGGGCATGACATCGACGCCGGCGGCAAAATCCAGCCGAAAGTGTCCATATAGTTGCTATCGCAATAAAAGTGCTCAAGTCTACGAGGCGTGCATGACGTTTTTTCTTTCCCCATGCCATCCCTCCCTGCTTAGCTTCCAGCTTCCTCACCAGGACAAGAAAGGAGAATGCAATTGCAGCGTGCAACAAATCTTTGGAACTCCACTCGTACTGAACTGACAATAAAAATTTTGCAGTCGTGAATTCGTGAGGCAGTAAGCTTTTTTAGTGACTCCATCGCTCCGTGAAAAAGTGTTGCAGGGCCCCTTTATATGAACATGTTACCCTCAAATCAATTTATTATTTTAATACTCCTAAAAGCTTGTTATGACAACCTATATGCTATAAGTAAAATAAATTTTAAAATGTTATTTTACAGGTTGTCACTCGCTTCCTACCGAAACTCGAATCTCGCTGCTACTCAAGGTTGTTCTGACTTCCTTTGAACGAAAAAAAAAAAAAAATATGCAATTTTTGTAGAGCCCCTATGTCAATTAAAAAATATATTGTGCAGGTTAGTTAGGTCATGATAAATATTCCCATTCTTTTATATGTCATACACACCATACGAAGTTGATTCGAAATCATTCGACCAAAGTAAATATTCTCTTCAAACCTATTCAAGCCTATCCATTACACGTAATTCATCTCCAACTTTAGTGAGAAGTCACGCATGCCTTTTCATAAAGACATGGTGAGACTTGGTGAGTGGAAATCTAGACCCAGGGAAGAAAATTAAAAACAGAAGTTCATTGAAATTGAAACTGGAGTTTGTTGAAGTGGTAAAAGGTGCCACGAATAAAAAGATGGACTGGCATGTGCATTTGGCCCCTCTCGCTGCATCTGTCGGAGGGTGAGTGCACTTACTTTCAGCAAAAACCTGCAAGATAATTTTTCAGTATGCAGTATCAATGGTGTTAAATTTGGTGATGAAAACTTCCAATTTATGTCACTCACACAAGTAACATTGTCTGTTTGATTTTCTTTCATTCATGGATGTACACGTGATGGCATATTGCCATGTTCCATTTCACAAGTTTTTGATATCGTTCCGAAACACCACACGATTCTCGACGCAAACCACGCCTGCAGGTTTCGAGAAGGTTCCGGACTGTAGTAGATCGATTCGATAAGGTCACGCCCACTGTGCGAACGGTACGGATTGTTCTGGAACCTACGCCACCGCCAGCGATAACGCTAGAACATTCGACAGCAAGGGTATAAATGCCGACGCGCTTCACCGCTTGTCAGTTGTTTATCGAAGGCCGACGCTGCGTTCGCCGCTATCAGTCCGAGACTGCTATCTGTGCAAGACTGCTGCTGTAATTAGACTTTCCCTTTACCGGGCACAGGTTCGCCCAAATAAACAGTTAAATCCCAACACGAAGTTTTCTGTCTTTGGCCACGTCACGACCCCGTGACATCTGGTGGAGGTGCTGCTTCGTTCATGTACCGGACGCCCCCGTCAAGCCGTGAACCCAGCCCCCTTCGCGGAGAAGACATTGACGCCAACCAAGAGCAGCGAACGAGCCGCTGACAGCAAGGTCTCCCACCGGAGTACGGCCTGCTACAAGACAAGGCGCGGAAGACCAAGACCATGACCTCGACTGCAGCGACAATGACAACCGGAGCGTCCCAGCCCGCGATCGTCATTCATCAACCCAGGGAACCACCAACGTTCCATGGCTCATCGTTTGAAGACCCGGAAACCTGGCTAGAAACATACGACCGTGTGGCCGCCCTCAACCACTGGGACAACGAAGAAAAGCTCCGTCGTGTGTACTTCTACCTGGAAGACACCGCAAGGACCTGGCTAGAGAATCGGGAGTCCACGCTCCGAACGTGGGATGTCTTCTGCGGCGCATTTCTTCAAACGTTCGCAAGCGTCGCTCGCAAAGAGAGGGCCGCTGCTCTACTCGAGACCTGGGTTCAGCTACCAAACGAAAAGGTTGGAATTTTCACAGAAGAGATGACCCGCCTATTCCGTCACGCTGACCCAGACATGCCTGAGGAAAAAAAAGTTCGTTTCCTCATGCGAGGGGTCAAACAGGACCTCTTCGCGGGACTAATGAGGAATCCACCGAACACCGTCCAAGAATTTGTATCCGAGGCGACCACCATCGAAAAAACGCTGGACATGCGCACCAGACAGTATAATCGTCGCCTGACTCCAGAATGCGCTGCTGCTCAAGCCAGTGACTCCGACCACCTGCGTGAAACGATCCGAGCGATCGTGCGGGAAGAGCTGCGCAAACTGTTGCTTTCGGCGCAGCCTCAAGTGGATTCGATCGCCGACATTGTGCGAGAAGAAGTCCGGCAATTCCCCAAACACCGCTGCCCGAGCCAGAAACTATGAGCTACGCCGCTGCAGTGCGCCACAACACTCCTCCCCGTCCACGCCAAAACGCCGCCCCGTCACACTTCCGTCGCCAGACGCCACCGCCGCCACCACCCCAACCGACGTTCTACCGTTCCCCAGCGGGCCAGCGCAGTGCACCGAGAAAAACGGACGTTTGGCGTGCATCTGACAACCGCCCGCTCTGCTACCACTGCGGCGAGGCCGGGCACACATACCGCCGTTGCCAGTACCGACAGATGGGACTGCGTGGCTTCGCCGTCAATGCACCGCGTCCGCAGCCAGGAGATCGGCCACGTGACATCGCCGACTACCTGGCAGGAACTCAATGGACACCACGAAGTCCTTCCCGTTCGCCGTCGCCCAGCCGCCGCATGTCACCGCACCCCCGGCAGTACTCTGGCCCAACGCGGGGCCGGTCTCCTAGC